TTTAGCTTCTAACTTTTTTCTTAAAATTATTTAGCTTTTTGCTCAAAATATTAACTGAATATTTGAATGAAAAACAAAAACAATGCGGCGGGTTTTCATTTAAAAAAAAACTTACCCTCCTAATATGTATGCAAATATTCAAATTCATCTGCATCTAAACACACCCTTTCAATAGTTAGTCCGGGGCACGAAAAAGTACGTTTTGCGATGATGAAGTAGTACAAACATGTCGAACATGTTTGCTTTTCCCTAGTTAGAAAACACAGAGAAAGGCTTCCAAGGCTTCGACTTTATGCGATATCTGCGAGGGTAGACTGATTTTGAGCTCTTTCGGCACTCACATCACCTTCCGGAATGAGCGACCGGGAAGTAATAGTTGCAAGATGGATGGGTCGACGCTTGACGGATGTGTCGATAGATGGTTCTTTCATGCAGGGCGCCAGCATAAAGCGGAACTAGCATTAAGGAAGCAGTCGAATGTCTGTTAAACTTCTTTGGGTACCATGCCATATTGATATTGCAGGCAATAGTGTTACGGAGAAGTTGGCCAGGAAAGGTACCCTGGAATTGGACTCACCTGGTAAAAAGTGGGAGTACTTTCTCTTTGGTAAGTTTAGTGGGAGGATACTAAAGTACATATTTATGGGTTTTCACGCGATGTGGTTAAATATCACACCGAATCCCCACTGCTTACAGAACAATAAGGTGGAACCAAAACTTTATCTTAAGCTGCCTAGATTTAGTGAAGGTACGAAAAATATTTACTGAAGTACAAACAAGTTGTATTTTTACAAGAATGCATACTTTTTATCTTAAAGATTGTCATTGTTATGAAGTTATAATGACGAGCAAAAATATTTGATATGCTAATTTAGATATTTTTCTTAGTCATAGCTAAAATTTAATTTAGCTCTTTAGCTTTGTTTTTTGCCTATTTAGCCTTTTCTCTGACAAAGTTCTGGCAACACTGCTCTTGTGCATACCTACATATACATATACTAAATAAATTTTAGGGAAAATAATTAAATTTCATTTGGTCTAATAGCGGTCTAAGTGCATAAAAGACGGAGCGCTCGCCCAAGCTCAAGTACAGTTGTTTAAATTACCACCTAGTAAATTTTTTGTTGAAATTACCAATGTAAACAAATAAATAAAAATTTCACTTTCGGTTTTTTTGTAGCCGTCATCGATTCGCAAACATTGTTGTTGCTTTCTAGAGCAAAATTTTTGTTAATCGACCGAAACTCAAATATATCGAGCAGAGAAGTGGCGAATCGATGACGGCTTTTGTAATTCAAATTGTTAGATAAAGAATGCAGGAGCACTGTTTCGTCATTTGAAACAAATGCGTTCAGCTGTGGAAAGAATATATTCCTAAATCAATTTGAATAAAATAAGAAATAAACTAGAAAATCCAGCACTGTCTGGCATACACAGCAAGAAGCAAGATATTTTTAATTGGAAAACGCAAAAATAGGAACTACTAAGTCGGGGATGCTCTCTCTGTTGCTCGTATTAACGACTTTCGGTTTCGGCCGGAAGTGAGTTAAACTGACCGAAAGTCCACTTTTCTAAATGGGACTTACATACATGTTTTACCCTAGACGCGAATTTTGGGGATGAAAATATCTAAGTTTGGTTTAAACTGTTTTTCTCGGAAGTGCCTTTTTCAACCTCTCAATGATCCTCCAACTTCAATTCGTGCTGGACTTCTAAAATACACGAAAATATCCTTATAGGAAAACGAAAAAAATTGAATTGCTAAGTCGGGGATGATCTATCTTTTAATCGTATTACCGATACCCGGTTTTGACCGGAAGACGTTACTGTTACAACTCACTTTTACTTTTTCAAATTATTTGTATGTATTGCCGTCAAATACTTTTTGAAATCCTTAAGAGCTGTTTTAATATAATTTTCTCTACTTCACAAACCCTCAGATTTTTCAATGGGATTAACATCTAGATAATGTGACTGCTAATCTAATTGGTGTTGACTGGACTATTAGTCATCAATATTACTATCGCTGAAGACTGTCTAAAGTTACATGGAATTTGATATCTTTGAATAAAGGAAATCCGCTGAACACCTGAAAACCTTGGTGTGTAGTTCTGATATGAGACGGACAGGCATTCTGATCCTTTGCGATTCCGATTCTGACCGCCTTTACTGTACATATGCATCTGTATCTATCATCAGGAAACTAATGAAATGAATAAAAGTGAAACAAATAAAAAAATTAAAAGAGTGGTATTTGCCGAAAAAAATCCATGGTTTATTATAATTTGGTTATTTGCCGCAAAAATTTCGTTGCCGAATAATTCTTGCTTGGTTTTTAAACACAAACAGCTAAAATAACACTGCCACAAACCTACACTGAAAAATTCGAGAAATAAAACAAATATAAACTTACAATGCATGTAGAACCATATTTTAATTAAATCTACTTTTTGTTTTTATCTATTAATAACTATTTTTGCTGTACATCGATAATATAAATAATCAATATGTTAATAGAAAATCTGAGGAGCCTCCAATCAAGATATGACACCAATTTTTTTTAACACCTAATTTTAGTTTATTGCGCCAAATCATGACTTAACTAGTAGATTTTTTGGTTTGTGCTTTAATTTTTATCTTTTTCTTTTAAGAAATACCATCTTTTGATTCGACCACCCTTATTTGGTATGGTTCGTTTATATTTTAGTACAATTACTCAAACTTTAGAATCCTGGTATAATGTGGTAGGCCTCCAAAGTGCTGATTGTTAAGTAAAAAATCCAAAGTGAAACGAGGATAATGCAATGAAACCACTTCAGATTGACGGGTCCACCAAGCTCTCCGCCTATCGATTTTTCACGACGGAATATTATCACAACGAACGCGACAGATGTTTCTATGAGAAAAAGTGTCGTTGAGAAGAGTAGCCTGTAGAATTGTGATTTCAATTTTAAAATAAACATTTTATATTTTTATATAATCAAGTTTTTGAAATAGTTCAACATTTAACAAGGTTTCAAAAGTTTCAACACATGTAACGCGATTGACTGCATCCAACTCTTCTTTTTCTCTACTTACATGAGCAAATCTCACGAGTTGTATTTTAGTGTCCTTCACTTGCCAAAAAAAAGCTAAAGCATTCTTCCTGCATACATATATGTATTTCACTCAATGGAATTCCAGATATAAGCATAATAAAAAATAAATCCAGTATTTCAACAATTTTAGCCTTAAAACATTTAATTAGGCGAAAAAGTACCGAAATTACTCAATTTTTCATTGCCATTCGAAAAGTTATAATTGTTTTTTTTTTATAACTTTGCGTAGTTTTCAAATAGACTGTTCATATTGGAGGCAATAGACTTTGGCATCAAATTTAACATATTTGTGAAATTTAAAGAGTGTGCAACTAAATTAAAAAAATGCCAGTATGCAGAATATCTCCGCACCTATTTAATAATTTTTGAAATTTTACAATTTTTTTTTATTTTAATAATTTTAGGTACTTCAAAATGTTAAAATAAAACAGTGAAGAGTTCTGACCAAAATGAACAAATTTAGTGTAATAAAACCAGTGTGTTACCAAATGAAAAATATTACATTACGTAAACGATGACTATGATTTGAGAAACTAAAGTTTCATGTTTACAATTTTTATTTGAGAAGAATTTAATTGAAGAAAGTAATATATATATGTGTGCATAAGGAATACTGTGTCAAAATCTAAGACGCTAATATCTCATTACTTTTAAATAATATGGCTTTTAAGTTAAGGCGTGCAAGTAAACGTATTAGATGAATGCGTATGGTGTTACGGGACGTATACGTTACATACGCACACCTATGCATGTATGTATGTAGTATATCTAAAGTACGATCAACTCAAAACAAAGTGTGTGCAATTTTTTTGCATAAATCTTTTTTTTTTCTTCATGATTATATATATACATTAACTAAAAAACTACTGTTATACCTGTTACGATTCGCAAGCAGTTAAATTTCCCTCTATGAATTTTGAGTTAGCTCAATTTAGATCTAGGTAGCACGAGTGATTATTTTTACTTTTTTTAGCATTTATTTTTTAAATTTTCACTTAAATACATTTCCACGTTGATATCTTGTTCTTTAAGCAAAACTGCAAATAATGCATTTTCTAAGATAGTAAGTGTGCCTCCATTTTCGACCAAAAACACATCTTTGTCGAAAAATGTAACAACTCGTGAGATTATGTACATATGTTATAACAGATTGTTAGTCTGAGTCAAAACAAAGAGGGCTCTCCAATTTCATTCATTCTCTTCACCTACATACATCGACGAACAAAAGTATTGGCATAGCAATTTTTTCGCAAAACATGCAAAGTTTCTCATTCTAATTTATTTTCGATAATTTTTTGTCAAAATGTAGTTTATACTACACCAAAAAACATACAAATAAAATCTCTTAACTTTGTGCAAAACTCAGGAAAATTCAATAAACTTGCATACTAATTTGCAACTTTCTATTCAGATTCTTTAGAAAAATTCCAAATTCATTCAGTTTTCGCATAACAATGGGCAAGTGTGAGGTATACATGCCAGATCGAAATAAAATAAATCGATTTTTGAATCGATTCGAATCGGAAGAAAAAGGTTAATGTAGAAGAGATCGTTAAAAAATTCGGAAAAGTTAAGAAAATATTTTTTGAACAAAACTTAGTTTCCAACGCATTGACGCAAGTTTTATCTTATTCTCATGGTCGAATCCGGAAATATAAAGGCTTCAACCCACAGTAGTTTTAAATAAGCTTAAATTTTTAATAGCCGTTGTTGTATTTTTTTATAGCGGTGGCAACCCCTTTAAAAATCTTTTAAAACCTCTTCAAACGCTTTCAGTTTTGAGGAAGAAACTTAAATTTTTTATTAACCTTTAAATAATTTAAAATTTTCAAATATCTGGCAACCCCAATTTTAAAAAAATGATTACCCAATACCCACAGAAATAATCGAGTAGAATGAAAAAAATGGGCACCTCTATTGAGCTGTTCGTGCGTGATGTGGTTATGAAAACTTAAAATAACTAATTTTGTTGCCCAACAGATAGGATTATCGGTTAATTTTATGTTCAATGTTGAAGAAATAGTAAGAGTATTTAAGCTAGCTAAAACGTACAATCGGCAATCTTCCTCAATCGCGTTACATGGTGTAGAATCTCCTGTTTCATATTTTTTACATACAGGTATGTTCTGAAATCGGTACGCTTTGCTGAATAATTAAGTTTATTTCTGATGAAAAGATTGAACATTTTATATTAAAACCATAAAAGAAAAGTCAGCTATGTTATATCGGTGACATTTAAAAAAATCAACGGAAATAACGTCAATTGACACTATTTCGCATACTGGTGCGAAATAAAATCATTTGACATTATTACTCCCTTTTCGAAAGTGAAATAAAATCCGTTGAAATTATTGCTCTTTCAAAGGTTAAATTTGCATATCGTCGCAGCGGCCTGCGTCCGCGCGCCACACAGGCACACGCAGGTAGATTTATTTTTTGTATACTTTTTATTTAAATTTTTAAGTAGTTCATATATTTTAAATTTTTATATTTGTAAGCTATTGGACGATTTTTGCTGTGTTGGCAACCAGAGCATTTTGCATCAGCGCGATTTTGCACAATTTTTCAATAGCATTCTGCACAAAGCGTTTTATTAGCTTTGAATTTAATAGTGTTCATCAGTGCTGCCAAGTTTTGAATTAGAAAAAGCACTAGAATCCAAAAAATTCGCGTTTTTTCTCGAAAAAGCACCAGCAAAAAAAAATAATATTGTAGGGATGCCCATTCAAATTAGTAAAAATCAATGTTTCTTTCTCGACGGTCGAATTATATATATTCTATTTAGTATAAACTCAAATATTTTCGTCCAAGTGACGTTAAGTTTCTTGTTCTTATTTTCTCCTTTGCAGCTAAGTCCAGCGTTCCGTTTCGCTTAGATGTAAGCAAAATTCATAAATTTTTCTTGACTGTTTAAATGTTAAAATTTTCTTCGTTTTGCTTAATTTTTTCTACAATTCCTATCAAACGAAAACAAAAACAAGAAATGAAGTTTCATGAACTATGTGTTAGTTTAAATCTACATTGCAGTCTCTTATGATCTAGCAAACTAAAGGAACATAAAGAATATTTTTTCCGACCGCCTAACGCCTGAAATATAACGAAATTTGATTTCCCTTTTTAATGTCTCATATTTGAGCGTATTATCAAGGAGATGCTGCTGCTTTTTTGAATAGTCGTAAAAATATATGACAAGTTCAGCCCAAGCTGAAGGTCGATTTATGGTTCCAGCAATTCCGAATTACCGAATGTTATTCTGACATGACTGAGAGTGCTGCCACATATTTTGTTGGTAAACATATGCTTTTTGAATAAAGAAAATCAGTAAATTTAGCGCGAAAAGCACCAAGTTGGCAACAGTGGTGGCCTTTCAATAGTGTTTGCTTTATTTTTGGAATCGAAACATGCATTCCAGCTCTTTGGTTTTTCGCATCGTGTTTTTATTATATTCGTAATTTTAAGTTTTCTCATAAAATCGATTGGTGGTGGTTCTTGATTGTGTTGATTAATAGCACTGAGGATTTGGCAATAACCTCTTTCATCTATGGAAACACCTATGGGGCAATTTTTATTGTAACATTCATATCTCACGTATAATGCAAGAACAACATTTTTTGATTTGAATCGAAATATGTTAAGCATTCTGGACGCTATATACTTTTGATATGAAAAAAAAAATAAAAATATTTACGAAATCGTACCGATTTCAAATCGTCCCAATTTCAAAACATACCTGATAGTAGTAATAAAGGTTAACTTACGATCCGATAGGTACAATGAATTGATTTCCATGGAAAGCATGATAAATAGCTGCCATAGACCAAGCTATACCGATTCCAAGAAAAACATTTACTGCATTGCTACCTGTCACATTACCAATAGCATTGTCAGCCGTCTTGTCATGCACAGCGGCTACTTTACTCGCGAACGTATCTATAAGGTAAATATATGTAAGTAGCAACATATTTACTACACCGTGCGAAAATCATACCCACAAAAATGAATAATAATAATAGATTGGCGCTTTCACACATGTTAGTGTTTGGCCGAGCTTCTCCTCCCATTTGTGGAGTGCGCCTTGATGTTGTCACACAAAGGGGAGGGACCTACAATTTTACGCCGACTCCGAACGGCGATTGTATTTTAATGGGAAGCTGTTTTTCATGACAGAAATATACTCGAAGGTATACCATTGCCTGCCGAGGGGCGACCGCTGTCAAGAAAAAACCTTTTTTCTATATTTTTTTGCGATGTTGCTTTGACCAGGGCTTGAACCCAGCCCTGCGGAGTGGAAGCGCGCACTGGTTAGCACTACACCACAGCGGCCGCAAAAATGAATTTTCTCGCAAAATTAGGGACCATATATATACTTAGCAACGTTTTTAGTATTTCTCTGAGTGGTCAGGATTTCTTCACCGGCGCTGTGATATTTCCAGGATATTATTCAGCGTATGCAGCGCAATGTACATGTAGAATATCAATATGGGTACCAAATGAAAGGTAAAATTCTGTAGAATTGAAAAAGATCTAAAATTTCGTCCTTCTAACTTTATTAGTTTAGGATAAAAAATAGTAATTAAAAAGGGACAATCCCAAAAACTCTTCGCCCTTGTGAGACAAAATTTATTTTTGTTTTTAATATGTAGAGTTTTTTCTTTCATTCGGTATTCACATTATTATTGTGCGTTGCACTGAATTTTTAAAATCACACATCAAGGCGAATTCATATAAGGTGGTGGCGATAGTACAAAAACAAAAAATTACATATATTTTGTTTTTACTTTCGGGAAAGAATATACAAACACCCTAAAATATAAGTCATTGACATTTGTGTGCCAAGGCAAATTAATTCAACTGTTCTAGTAACTCCACCAAGGCGAATTCATATAAGTTCGTAGCAGAAGTACAAAAACATAAAATTACATTAACATATTTCACGCACAGTAACAGTATGAATTACAACAACCATATCATTTTGACATTCAGCAAAACAGCGGCAAAAATCCACTTAGTCCGGTAAGACCACCTTTTATGAAATCGTATTGAATCATATTTTTAAAAGCTTCAAAGTAATTAAAAAAAAAATTATAATAACGTCAGAGAGACAAACATAAAGCGCTGGTTTATTATACATATTTGGTCCGTAGTTTCGGGAGTATGTATATTGATTTTTTTGTGTGTTTTGAAATTTTTTGATTTTTCTCGCACAGTGTCAGGTACATATGTAACTATAGTACTTATCAGAGAACAGCTTTGAGTATGATCGAGCCGTTTTGATCACACTCACTAAAAATCAAGCACAAGCGAACGCCACACTCGGCTATTATGTGTTCGATCGAGATGCATACCCGACAGCTGCTTTGGTTACGAACGAGTCTGTTCGATCACCCTCGCTATAAATTGAGCACAAGCGAACACCACACTCGGACACCCGCAGCTAACCCGAAAATTTGTGTAACAATGAAACGGACACCCGAACATTGCGATAAAATGCAGGACAACAAAGAAATTTACGCTGAAGGTAACTGGCGCCAATATGTTCCCACAAAGCATACGAAAATGTTGTTGCTTTGTGCTTGTGCATACGCAATGAAAAAATTAGAAGCGAAGTAGACAAAAATGTTTTTGCATCTATTTCGTATAGTTTCGCGTGGAAAGCTGTGTGTGTATATATTAGAACACAGCCTAAAACTATGTAGGTACATAAGTACTTTTACAAAAAATAAATGTGCACCGAGTGTATAGGGCTTGGGCATTGCCGATCTACACACATTTATACCTAAATGGATGTAGGCGTCGTGATGCCGCATTTTGTATGAGCAAAAATATAAGAAATGGTTAAATGTACACTTAAACAAACTACCGAAAAATTCAACCTTCTCTTTACCCTCTACGCACAAAAACTAAGAACACCGCGATGAGAAGGCAACATTTTTTGTAGAAACAAAAACGTCATAAGCCAATCAAGAAAATTTTGTGCACACTCGGGTTGAAACTCGAACACCCGGGTATATTGAGCTGCAAAGCACCCGAACCCAATCAAGTATGTATGAAAAGCAATCGGGTGTTGTGGCCAACATGTTCGTCTTGAGCTCAGTCGATAACGAACAATACTTCTGCTCGTATACAGAGAACGATGCAAAACGGGTTTTGTTAGATGATCGAGTATACACGAAAATCATGCACCCGCTGCAGATGTCTGGTACGTATTTATTAATTCTTTTAATTAACTGAGTGAATCAGATTTTAGTTTATAGTTTATAATTTACCTGGCAAACTGGTACCGAGCGCTACAAAGCATATAGCTGTGACCGAATCGAGTACACCCAGCGTACAACCGAAATGCGATGAGACATCGCCGAGCACAGCTGTACATATCGCTATTAGAATTATTGAAACAAAGAAACACGGATATCCATCATGCAGCTCTGAAATTATAAGATAGTTACTCAGCTCGATGCTGCAACGATAATAAATTAGTTAGCATATCGATGCATTATGTAAAACAGTCTTGACTCAATTAAAAAACCAGTTTTCGTGCCGGGAGTGCAACTACACATTAATGGCGCTTACCACAATTATATGCCACCCGCATATTGGCAAATTTTGATTATTAATTTTTTTATTAATTAATTTTAATTATTTTTGTAAAAAATATACTTAATTCTTTCACAAAAACTGTATAAATCCAAATTTACAAGTTTGCGAAATATAAAAAAAAAATCAACAAACGTTCGTAAAAATGTCTAGGTTTTTAATTAAATTTTTTAAAAAGATTTTGAGTATGCTCTTTTATAGCCTATTCACGTCTAGTATAAGAAAGTGGAAGTTTGAATTAGCTAGGACTTACCATTTATTTTTTTAAATTCTGTTTATTGAAGGTATTGCTCATTTTATCTATATAAAAAAATCGTGGTATACGTTCGTATAATTATGATAAGCGCTATATATATTTTAAAAGCTGCTAAGTGAGGAATGACGCAGAAAGCCGTAAGACGCCCTACTTTCGACGATAGCCCCTGCGAACTTATTTAAGACTATGGTTTGAGAACAGAAGATCAGGAAGGACCTTGCAATGCCCCCTAGAACTGTAACGCGAAAGAGCGCAAGTTTCATGTCGAATTTGCGGTGGGAGGGAGATTCCGACGTCAAATACTTTGTGGGCGTATGAAAGGAAGGTGTCTTTGATCCTATCATCGGAAAATTTATTCTCTATGACAAAAAGTGCGACAATGGACCGAGGCTAACGACAACACAGTGGCCCAAAATATCGTTGCCTGCAGCACAAGGTTGGAGCATAAAGGGATTCATTAGTCTTAATTGCTATCAACAGATCGAAAAAATTTATCATGTTGTCTTAGACGAACGATGTGTTTCCAGTTTGCCTATGTCTAGGGTGACCAGATGAGTCGAAAGAAAAATCATCAGAGTGTGGTCACCCTACCTATGTCCCATTTACGTTGTTCCAGTAGCATACCAGGCCAGCGCTGGATCTTTACTGGCGTAATTTAAACAAGCACTGCCATTAGTGAAATCCCGTAAAAATAACTGGATGGTTAGAGTACTTTTCAAACCAGTGATCACTTTCCAGTACAGCGGTAAACGTGTACAAAGGTGGCTAATTACGTACATACGATCCCAGGATATGAAATTGACTTGGATCACTATTTTGTTGCAGCCGCGATAAGCACGAGGACTTGGACAAACAGCAACTGTCATCTAGAAGAGAGCGAAGAAGAAGATAATCGAAATTGTTCGACCAAGCAACATAGGATGTACATACATACATACAAAATAGACAAAATATCCCCCGCAATAAATGCATCAGAATAGCGCAAAAACACGCTCATTGATTCCTAAACAACAACTAAGAAGCACTGCAACCAACCAACTAACCAAATCCATATAATATGTTAGCTTTCGTTCTCGACTTACTTGCTGGCGGAATTACCGCAAAACAAATTTTCCAGAATATTGAAATAAAATGCATGAAGTATTCGCCTCGGCTGGGCCCGACTTTCTCTTCGATATCTTCATCTTCATCAATCTCTACTTCGTCTTCGTCATTATCCTCTTCACTATTAAAGTCACCACTACCTATTCGTAAGAAGTAAGCTCGGCTGTGTATACAAAACTATACTAGAGATTGCACAATCATTAAAAAATTATTACCTGAAACGGTTAAAGCATCCACAAACTGCTCCTTCCATGAAGTGGTACCAATCAGCTTAGAAGCATTCGCTGTTTTGACTAACTTGTTCACCGTTTGCTGTTATCGAAAATTACTACTATTAAAAATATATATATTTTAAAACCCAATTTAATTAAATGCAAGCTTACTGTGAATTCCTCGTTTGCAGTAATATGACATTCAATTTGTTTTATATCATCTGATAATTTCGGTTGTCCTGATACAAGAATTCTTACCCGATTAGTCCTTTCTTCTTCTCGTTTTAGTTTAACTTCGTTTACTCGAGAGTACAATGGATCCTCTGAGAGAGGGAGAGAGAGAGAGAGAGAGTGACAGTTAAAACGAATTGTGATGTTAATTTTTTCGCTTTTTACGATCCCGGGATTTTCGGGATGTCGGTATCACAATCCCGGGATTTAGATATTCTTTATTTTTCAACAACTTCAATCGAAAAAATTGCTTCTATCTCTCTAAATGGGTTTGAAATCTACTTTTTTATTTAAAGTGGCGTTTTTATTTTTTCTCTGACGTCAGGATTTTTTTTAAAGGACTTTGTAATTTCAAAGGTATGATTAATTCCAAAAATTATTTAAAATCTTCAATGTAATGTAGAATAAAAATATGGTACAAAATGAAAGAGGAAATTTCGTTAGAATTAAAAAAAAAATTGTTTGGATTCACAAGGACGAAAAGGTAAATTTTTAAACTGATAAAGTTAGAAGGACGAAATTCGAGGATGTTATCGAGTTTATATAAGTCGTTAACATATGTTTTTTTTCAAAACCAAATATTGCGAAATTTCAAGGATACAATTTGAAAATGACATTTTCAATACTTGCCAATCCGTATACACCAAAAAATTACATCTGATTTAATTCCACATAATTTCCTCTTTAATTTGATAGCCATTCTTCTTCTCTAAGCAAATTTTACTGATTTTTTTTAAATCGTTCTTGAATTACTGACGGCAGAGTGATACCCTAAAAACGCAAGTTTACTATATTTGGCCCATGGCTTCGTGAATACATTAATTTTTGTGTGTAAAATTCACTCTTGCATATATGTATAATGCGCTAGACATTTATAAAAAATAAATATTAATTATTAAACGAAGAAAGAAATTCAGCCAACACTGGTCATGAAAAGGATTTTCTATTATTGCCATCACTGCAAATTAAAAATCCCGAAAATCCCGGGATTATTTGCCAAGAGCCCCGGAATTTCCGCGACCTAAAAAAGGCAGTGCTGCTTTCGGCTATGGCATAGCGAAAACAAATTCAAAAAAGCAACGCGAATTTTGCATAAAATGTTAATTTGCCTGACAACATGTAAATATGCAAAAATACGCACATAAAATGGATTCCGCAATAAAATAAAAGTTTTTATCAATGTTATTGTGGCTTGTTAACATTTTATTTTTAATATTTTTATTGAGCTTTGTACCACGATTGTTTATTAGGAAAAATTGAAAAAGCAACAAAGTCTAAGCGGTAGAAGTTATAGCACTATTTCGGAGATCACCACATCTCCTCATCAGACTTCTTTTTNCCTGCTGGAAGTCTAGAAAAAGAAGTCTGATGAGGAGATGTGGTGATCTCCGAAATAGTGCTATAACTTCTACCGCTTAGACTTTGTTGCTTTTTCAATTTTTCCTAATAAACAATCGTGGTACAAAGCTCAATAAAAATATTAAAAATAAAATGTTAACAAGCCACAATAACATTGACAAATACATAGTTTAGGAAGAGCCTGCCTGAAACTATACAAAAAAGCAAATAAGCAAATGGATGTATAGAATTGACAACAACAACCACGCTGTCGAGTTTAAATAGCGGCAAATCAGCTGCACTTGATAGTAGTTGGTTGAATAAGGAAAATGAATTAGCAACAAGAGTTTACGGGATGTACATAGCTCAGTGGTTAACGCTTCTGACTTTGAACATCGAATTCGCAGGTTCGATTCCTGCTGAAGTCTAGGAAAAAGAAGTCTGATGAGGAGATGTGGTGATCTCCGAAATAGTGCTATAGCTTCTACCGCTTAGACTTTGTTGCTTTTTCAATTTTTCCTAATAAACAATCGTGGTACAAAGCTCAATAAAAATATTAAAAATAAAAGTTTTTAATACACAAATATAGTACATATATTTTGTTTACCAGTATTCCAACATAAACATTAATTTGCATGGAAATCTGCTCCCTGGCGATGAGTTTTGTCATTGGCGTGGGAATAGTGCGGTAAGCAAATTAGTAGGATTAAAATAAAATTGCTCGACTCACTTTTAAATATTTGAGCTGTATAAAAAATTACTTAGATTCATTAGGAGAAGACGTCCCTCTTATGCCAGAAGTTTGAATGTTCAAATTTACCAATTTTGAGTTATTGGGTTAACTAGATTAGCCTTTGGATATTCTATGTTATACCAAAACCCAGAATACCATGTGTACACGAAATCACATATTTTACAATATCATTTACATGACTGTAGAGTTAAGACTCATAAAACAAAACTTTAAAACTTGATTTCCCAAGAATTTCATTTTTACACATTCATGTTTCTGTCATAAGGGGGACCATATATGCAATAAAAAATATGTGCGTATGGGCGTTTCCACGATGTTGGATCATACGATCTTCTTATTTGGCGCTGTAACCGCCTAAGCGATTTTGGCCGAGTTCAACAAAGCACGCCAGTCGTTTCTCTTCTATGCCAACTGACGCTAATTAGTAATGCTAAGTGAAGCCAAGTCCTTCTCCACTTGGTCTTTCGAACGCAGTGGGGGCATCCCTCTACACACGGAGGTCACTTATGAAAACAACTTTGCTATGGGCTTGAAACACTGGTGTCGGAAAAATCGATGATCAATGACCGGAGGTCATAACGTCACATAAACGGTATTAGAGTACATGTGAAAATTATAGTTTAAAAAACTAAAACCTCGCTATTATAATTTCCACTGGTATTGTCGTCAGGTATGTAACTTGAGAATAGAAATCGCTGCATCTTTTAGGCGCATCAATATTACATAGTTACATCCCGAACTAATAAAAGGGAGGTAAAAATAAAATTATAGTTTAAAAAACTAAAACCTCGCTATTATAATTTCCATTAGTACTGTCGTCAGGTATGTAACTTGAGAATAGAAATCGCTGCATCTTTTAGGCGCATCAATATTACATAGTTACATCCCGAGCTAATAAAAGGGAGGTAAAAATAAAATTATAGTTTAAAAAACTAAAACCTCGCTATTATAATTTTCATTGGTACTGTCGTCAGGTATGTAACTTGAGAATATAAATCGCTGCATCTTTTAGGTGCATCAATATTACATAGTAACATCCCGAGCTAATAAAAGGGAGGTAAAAAATAAACAAAACTCTGCGACTTCTGTGAGGTTTTCCTTTCCTAAAATTCTTTAAATAAAGTAAAATTATGGACAATTACAACTGGTTCATATTTAATCAGAAGCAATTCGTGGTTGGTTTTATTTTGAATTAAAACTAGAGAACGAGCGTGACAGATTTTTCAAAAACTTCGTGTGGAGATTTTACTTAAGCTTTTGGGAATCTTAAACTTTCTTTGGACAAACAAGTTACATTTCAAACAACATATCGATGGCTGAGTGGAAGATCAATCTATCTCGGCAGCCAGTTCAAAAACGCCCTATCTCAGAAAATTTTTCAACAACGCCCTATTTCAGAATTTTATAGCAAAAAAAACCCTATGTTGTTGTTGTTGTAGCGGCTAGAACAACCCCACCCAGATCGGTTGATATCTCAGTCGTTGTCGTCGAGTTCCACTAACGGCAGCCCCAAAAAGCGTGCAGCCTCTATAGGGTCGGTCCACAGGGACGATGCCGTTAGGGTTGTAGGATTTTCCGTTCCTACGACAGCCGGTTCTACGTACCGGAATGACTCAGATTTCACCCGACCAAGGGCTGTTGTTTCGGCGATCTAACCCCGTTTAGGTCGGCGAAGTATCTCAGAAAAACCCCTATCTCAGAATTTGGTTGAAGAACTCCCTATCTCTGCAGCCGATTCAAAAATGCCCTATCTGAGCATATTTTGAAAGTATTTTCGTTTGAGATGGGGCGTTCTTCAACCAAGTTCTGACATAGAGTGTTTTTCAATCAAGTTCTGAAGTAGGGCGTTCGTGAAAAGTTTTCTGAGATATGGTGTTTTCGAACTGGCTGCCGATATAGGTCGACTTCCACTCAGCCAGCGATATAAAAAAAAACACTTTTTGTGCCGAGTGCAATAATTCGTTTGCAATCAGGCTTTAACTGGCTGCGATACGAGTATTAGCCTGCAGATATAAGAAATGTCTATTGCTGCGACTTACCTTCTGCAATCCTCGGTTGGTCAAGATATACTTCGAAGACAACATCTTTTTCAAAGCTATGTTCGTCGATAATTTGAACTTCTATGATTTGCCTAAGGTTTTTTAAATACATACGTATGTAGATGATCAGCATGTGCTAAATACAACTTATTTTACAAATCTACTCACTCAACAACGCCATGTTCAAATACCAGTATGCCGCTCACATCCACGTACTCTTTCCCCGATATTGCCGTTTTCTCTTTGGTATAATAAGGCACGATAACTCTACCAAGTGCGCCCGAATATCGTTTTACAAATATTTCGTAAATTTTCACTGTTTCTGGAATTTGATGTTGTGTTTCCTTGAATCCGAAAATGCCACAGTGATCATCATCCAGGATCATAATGGTTGCCACTTTAGGTGCTACAAGAACAGCTTCCGTACTCGGATTTTTAAGGTGGACATAAAAGTGTTCATCCTCTTCGAAGACATCATCATCAATAATTCTTATTTTAATGGTTTGCAGCTCGATGCCTGGAGCAAATTCAAGCACTCCTCTCACGGCTACATAATCTGTGCCTGCCTTCGCGGTTCCATCTTCCGTGTAGTATTCAACTTTTGTTAAGTGCTTCAAATTTCCGCCCCGAATCACATGCAACTCCACATCTCCGACACTTTCCATCACAGTATAGTGGCCGTGCTCAAAATATATGCACGTCTCGGAGTCATCATAAAGCTCTTCATCCTCCTCTCCTTGCATACGAGCTTCGGCCTTTGTCTCTGAAATTTCCATAGTTGCGAAATAAAGCGCTCTGTTTAGTACGCCTGGCCCCCCAGTTAAACGACGTCCAGTATGAACGCGATAGAAAGCTCTTGACTTACGGCTATCTTTGATTAGTTGCTCCTGCGCCATTGCTTGGATTATTTCCAAATCATACTCTGGATATCTTCGACGCAATTCTTTCAACTTAATAATGTAATCTCGGCGTGTTTCTTCAAATTCGCGCATTTCCGGACTTTCGACTAGATCTTTAATACTTGTTCGTACAGGATCCATGCCTTGTTCGGCCGACTCAACTTTGCCCACAACGATACCACGCTGATTCGTTTCGTACGATTGTTTGTAACATTTCGGACAGAAGAGACGACGCTCTGTAATGTAAGCGTGATACACAAGAATTGGAAAGAATATAAACGTTAGTAATCCCTCCCATATATCAATGACGCCTGGTGAAATATATTTCACTATTAAGCACAACCAAATGTAAGCAAATGTCGACCATACAGATGTCACAACAAAAACTCGAAAATCACGTATCTTTCGTACTTGACCTTTCGGTATTACAACCATACATATAGCAATTATAATGAAAAGGTTATATGCCGCAGAACCAACTATTGTACCTGGACCTAAATCGCCAGCTTCGAAATTCTTCTGAAACATTTCGATTATAGAAAGCAAAATTTCCGGTGCACTCGAGCCCAAAGCCATGAGTGTTAAATTGGCCACTGTCTGACTCCACACACGGACGGATATGGTTTCTTTCTGGCCATTTTTATTAAGTACAGTTACACGTTTTTCACTTGATGTAATGACCTCTATGGATTCCATAAATCGATCCGATACAATGGCAACACCAATGAATAAATAACACATTGCCAGGAAATAAATAATTCCTCGTATTATTCTTTCCGTTTTGGAAACTCCTTCTAAAGGTCGCCAACATTTGAGAATAAGACCATCCTTGCACCTTATAATTCCTTCGTCAAAGTCGGATCGAAAAAATGGATTTATACTATTTCGTTCATTCGATTCGTTTTGTGGAGGTACAGTCGCCTCTGGTTGTGTTGTGCTCGAAATAGGATTAACCATTTGTTTTAAATTTGAATCGTCTGGGGGTGGTACGGGAGTCGTCGGTTTTGCTATGCTTGGTTCCCTATCCGCTAACGGTGATGAAGTTATTGATTTGGGTGTAATATTCCACTGTGTTACTCCAGGCGAGTTCGTTTTTTCTTGTGCCTTGGTTAATCGAAGGAGTAAACAATTCAAACAAACCAAAGCCACTAATTTAGTAAACGCTTTCAATTGGCGACTTCTATCTGAATATACTTTTATCATCGCATCGATTTATAGCACTCACAGAAATAAATCCGAATGGTTTAGGTTTCGAGAACTTGTTACCGTTGTTGTTGTGTACGCGGTCCTTAGCTAACGATCACCGACACTATGTGCCACGAATGGCGTCGAAATGCGCGCAAATACCCGCTTTTTTGGTGTTTCACCTCGTTGTTCCCGCAGTTTGTCCTCGTTTCCGTTTAAAAAATAAGTAGATGAATACCGTTTTGATTAATAATTTTGAATATTTCTAAACTTTTTTCACTGGTTCAATATTTTTATTTTTTTCTCAATTCGACAAGCTTCATGAATGTCGTTTCGACAAATGAAATTAACGAAAAAAATGTGTACTTATCAAGTCAAATATTTTTAATTTATTCTTACAAAAATTTTAAATTGTTAAAATCTATTTGCATGTGAAATGTGAAACCATTTTCCATACAAAATCAGTGATTTAATAGCAGCTTTTAGAACGTTCGTCCAACTCTGCAGCACAACCGCTGATTACTGGGGCCCAGTGTTGTCGTTGAGAATTTTCAAAAAAGTCGCAAAAAAGGGGTAATGGCGAAGAAAAGGGACCATACTATATACAGTTCTTTGGGAAATAGTATTTAAAATTCTACTTTTTAGTAGTTCCTTTGATCGCAATTTTTTAGGAACTTGGTGTAGTTAGAACGATATTAATATTTAAAATTGCTAGATTCGTATAATTTTTGTCCTCAAAATGTAAACAAATAAAAGATATTGTGGTTATCAATGGAAAAAGGCGTACACAAAAATCGNAATGGCGTCGAAATGCGCGCAAATACCCGCTTTTTTGGTGTTTCACCTCGTTGTTCCCGCAGTTTGTCCTCGTTTCCGTTTAAAAAATAAGTAGATGAATACCGTTTTGATTAATAATTTTGAATATTTCTAAACTTTTTTCACTGGTTCAATATTGTTATTTTTTTCTCAATTCGACAAGCTTCATGAATGTCGTTTCGACAAATGAAATTAACGAAAAAAATGTGTACTTATCAAGTCCCATTGAACAGGTAGTATCATAAGAGCAGCTGATTCGTTTATTTTTTGTCAGATTATTTGGTCTCGAAAATATCAAATATTTTTAATTTATTCTTACAAAAATTTTAAATTGTTAAAATCTATTTGCATGTGAAATGTGAAACCATTTTCCATACAAAATCAGTGATTTAATAGCAGCTTTTAGAACGTTCGTCCAACTCTGCAGCACAACCGCTGATTACTGGGGCCCAGTGTTGTCGTTGAGAATTTTCAAAAAAGTCGCAAAAAAGGGGTAATGGCGAAGAAAAGGTCACCATATTATATACAGTTCGTTGGGAAATAGTATTTAAAATTCTCCTTTTTAGTAGTTCCTTTGATCGCAATTTTTTAGGAACTTGGTGTAGTTAGAACGATATTAATATTTAAAATTGCTGGATTTGTATAATTTTTGTCCTCAAAATGTAAAAAAATAAAAGATATTGTGGTTATCAATGGAAAAAGGCGTACACAAAAATCGTATGGAAATGCGATTTTTTATATTAAATAACTTTTGCTGCATTGTCATAATATTGAGCCAAATGGACAAGTACTTATACACGAGAATAGAGTGGCTGCATGCTTAAATTAGGAATTCGCTTATATTATTAAAAAGTTATTCTCAGTCTTATAAGAAATTGCCTTAGTTTACGGCCTTTACTTTTTTATAAGTTCTAATATATATCCAAGCTGTGTGCCGATACAAACATATATTCAGGCCTATAAGCCTGTAGTTATATATTTTTTACATTTATTTTGAAATAGTATGCACGAACGTATTAGAAGTAGTAAATAATTAGTACCTTTTCTACTACTTTAAAATGCGTNACATATATTCAGGCCTATAAGCCTGTAGTTATATAGTTTTTACATTTATTTTGAAATAGTATGCACGAACGTATTAGAAGTAGTAAATAATTAGTACCTTTTCTACTACTTTAAAATGCGTGACAGGAATAGAACTGCCGAAAAAGTGAGGTTAAGTTACTGACAACACCTTATTATTATTACACCATGTTTTTTTTTTAAATGTATTTTTTATTTTTTATTAAACATGCAATGTCATCTTTGTTTTTTTTTTTTGTAACAAAAATGGAAAAGCTTCAGATCGAAAGATATATAATTATTTTTAAATGCCAATACACATACGAATCAGAACGAACGAAGTAATTGGTAATTTGTTGTGTTTTGTGAATCGAAAATGAATGGGTAATTTTTCAAGTCCATGAAAAATGCAATTTTTATGATATCGACAAGTAAAAAAAACACATATGCGCTTATTTAAGATGGAATTGGTCACATGGGGCATTTCATGTCATCGCGGCCACCTCTGTGCGCGACCTATAAAGAGTTGGATGAAAGTTGAAGAGATTGAAAGTCTAGGTGACGTGAATATACATGCGGCATATATTGCCGATATGACGTAGCATTGCCTATTTACACGAGATTTAAATTTTAAGAAAACGTCATGCATACCTTTTTTTAAAGTGCTGTATCTTGGAAACCTTTCAACGAAACTTGATGAAAAAAAATGTATTTATTCCGCCTTATTATGGGCTTTAACTATAAATTTTTCACACTAATGTGCAACGTATAAAAAAAATAAATAAACATTTTTCTTTTTGATTATAGCTTCTTTTTTTTCTATATATAATGTCAACTTTAAGTACCCAAATGGGCGTAATGGGTTACTAAGGCGTATGGACTCTTGGTCGTCTAACGCTCGATCAACATGATAAATAGATATTAAAATTTTATGAAATTGTATGTTTTTGAAAAAAGAAAGGTGTGTAAAAAACAAAAGAAATATGAATAAATCATATTCTGCCTTATCCTGAGTTTCACCTGAAAAAAAAAAAANTTTATTATTATTACACCATGTTTTTTAAAAAAATTTATTTTTTATTTTTTATTAAACATGCAATGTCATCTTTGTTTTTTTTTTTGTAAAAACAATGAAAAGCTTCAGATCTAAAGATATACCACCTCTGTGCGCGACCTCTAAGGATTTGGATGAAAGTTGAAGAGATTGAAAGTCTAGGTGACGTGAATATACGTGCAGCATATATTGCCGATCTGACGTAGGATTGCCTATTTACACGAGATTTAAATTTTAAGAAAACGTCATGCATACCTTTCTTTAAAGTACTGTGTCTTGGAAACCTTTCAACGAAACTTAATGAAAAAAAAAATTATATATTCCGCCCATAATAATGGGCTTTAACTATAAATTTTTTACACTAATGTGCAACGTATAAAAAAAATAAATAAACATTTTTGTTTTTGATTATAGCATTTTTATTTTTATTATTTTTTACATAAAAACACTGTCTATAATGTCAACTTTAAGTACCCAAATGGGCGTAATGGGTTACTAAGGCGTATGGACTCTTGATCGTCTAACGCTCGATCAATATGATAAATAGAAATTAAAATTTTATGAAATTGTATGTTTTTGAAAAAAGAAAGGTGTGTAAAAAACAAAAGAAATATGAATAAATCATACTAACTTTACTAATGGTTTGAAACCACGAAAATCCTTTCAAGGAAATGGCAGTATTGAACTTTGTTGCAAGTTCACGTGGGAAATCTGCATGCGACGGGATTGGAGGAAATTTTAAGAGAATAGCAGCTAGAGCAAGTCTTCAGCTCCCGACGTCACAACAAATGCTTACACCTTAGAGAAAACCAAGAGTGACTACAAAGAAGTTAAGCGAAGCTTCAAGATAGATTCTCAAATACACAATATATTCCAGGAACGCACAAATTTTATGCCTTTATACCAGAAACATCAACAACACATGAATATTCGACCTCCAATGATNACTCTACTAATGGTGGGAAATCTGCATGCGACGGGATTGGAGGAAATTTTAAGAGAATAGCAGCTAGAGCAAGTCTTCAGCTCCCGACGTCACAACAAATGCTTACACCTTAGAGAAAACCAAGGTGTGTGTATGCGTCCAAGAGTGACTACAAAGAAGTTAAGCGAAAGCTTCAAGATAGATTCTCAAATACACAATATATTCCAGGAACGCACAAATTTTATGCCTTTATACCAGAAACATCAACAACACATGAATATTCGACCTCCAATGATAGCTTCGTGGTTAGTCCTTTTATTAAAACAAGAAAAAGGAAAAGTGTGTAAAAAAATAAACCTAATGAATAATAAAGCCAATTCATATTTGTGCCATTTAGTAGAGCTGGAAAACAACCGATGGCACTATCAATAAACATCGATGGTAAATATCGATTGTATTCCAGCTCTACCATTCAGTCCGCAGGCACGGTACGATGGACATCTGGATTTACANTCAATCAATAAACATCGATGGTCACAAATATCGATTGTATTCCAGCTCTACCATTCAGTCCGCAGGCACGGTACGATGGACATCTGGATTTACAGAGCGAGTTTTTCTTTATAGAGCGCCATATTCAGTTTAAAGCAGGGGCACCGCTCGCAGGATGTGACACTTCGCTACGTATGGCCGGTCTTGAGCCATCTACAACGTGTGATAACAACGCCAAAAACCTTGACCTTGTCAAACCACTCTCTTGGTCATGCCTGCCGAATGGACGCAAATGGACGATGGTGGTAGCTAAGGATGAAAATACCAGGTTTATAAGGACTCGGCACTATTGCACTCACCCAAGAAGAAAAAGGAGACCACTGTGCGCAGTGCCGATGCTCGTGTGCATCAAGCCTAACAATC